TATCCTCACTTACATAAATGAACTATAGTGTCCTGCACCCACAAAAAAAAAATATCAAAAATTATATCTGGTCTCTGAATCATTTTTGGTTTGTCTGTATATCCTCCTGTTATTTTCACACTTAATTATGGCCATTAAAATGTATTTTACAAGTTTTTGTTACTTTCACTGTTCATTTTTTTCTCTCTCTATGGTAGCCTACATCATCTTTAATTTAATAGCATTAGAGCTGCTCCATTGCAGCGGCTTAGTACTGTAATCACGCGATTTGCTGTAAAAATGCAGGGAACCACTTGTTATAAATCTCCTAACTGTGATATTTTCAGAAATAGAAGTCGCGTTTTTTTCATCTGAAACGTGCTGCGATTTATATTCCAAAGCCTCTCGTATGATGCAGAAACACTCAAGCAAGCAAAACACGCGCAACGCGTGCATATATATGACAGAATGAGAGGGACAAGTACAGCCTAGCGCATTTCACACAGGCTAGATTCACTTTCGGTTTAATCCAAATTATGCGTGTGCTGAGTGAGTGAACATCAAAGATCACTCAACAGAATTGCGCGCTCGCTCGCTCTCTCTCTTTCTCTCTCACTCTTGCTCTCTCTACCGTTAAGTAACTTGTGCATTGTTTTACTTACTTGTTTATGACACATCCGACCGAACTACAAACTTTCCAGTGATGTCTGTGAGAAAGGTATATTCACTCGGCAAACTCGCGCATCTGCGCTGCCGCGCGCTCAATCTGCTTATCAGCTTGCACACATTAGCTATACAGGCGTTACTACTGAATGTTTTAACATTATATTCATTGCATACATATACTTCGTATACATCCTTTAGGCCATTTTAACGAGTACGAGTACAGAAGCTCAGTATCGGGCCCGATATATATATATATTAGTGCTGTCAAACGATTAATCGCAAGATAAGTTTTTGTTTACATAATATATGAGTGTGTACTGTGTATATTTATTATGTATATATAAATACAAAAACATGCATGTATATATTTAAGAAAAAAATGTTGTTTATATATTAAATATATTTATATATAATATAAAATATAATAATATAAATATATAAATGTATACATGTAAATATTTTCAAAATATATACTGTATGTGTGTGCTTTTATATACATAATAAATAAACAAATATATATATACATACATAATTGTACATAATAAATATACACAGTACACACAGATATATTTTGTAAACAAAAACTTTTATTTTGGATGCGATTAATCGCGATTAATTGTTTGACAGCACTAATTTATT